CTCCAATATCTATCTATCTATCTATCTATCTATCTATCTATCTATCTATCTATCTATCTATCTATCCACCCATCCATCTCTATTATTCTGAGAGAACAAAAGAAAAAATAACTATCCATTTAAGAATGTAAAGAATTTGAAATAAATATCAAAAAGTTAAATAACTAAACTAAACTGAACTAAACAGTAGTAAACAAATTAAAATTTGAACCAATACAATCTCAAGTCCTGAAAATGTCTCCAAATTGCAATTTTCCAGGTGATTTTGAACCATTGCAAGAAGGAACTGTGTGTGTATGTGTGGGATAATAGAGAGGTTTGCTTCTCAGAGGACTTTCTTTCATATTCCCACTCTGTTGGAGGGCAGGGAGAAAGAAAAATTGTACTGCGATATTCTACTCTCTTGACATAAAATGTCAGTGGCATCATTTGGGATCAAGGAAGCTGAAATCTTGGTGTTGTTGCATGAGATTAGGACTTGCCACCTGAGACAAGGGAATGAATTTAACATATGTCAACTTTGAACTGAACCTGGCCGCAGCCATCTTTCTGTTCTTCAGTTGCCATACAGAGGGAGAAGAGGGGAAGGAGGTTGGAATGCATTACTAGACATAACAAAGAACTTTCTCCTGAGAACCAAGGTTGTCTCTACTGGCAACATAAGGTTGGGGAAGGAGTGCCTGAAGAGCCCGCCAATTAACTCAATTGACCAACGTGACACTTAGGGATGGGGTTATTTCCTAGTTTAATTATACTGAAATAATGAGAAAGATTTAGATTTGGTTTTCCACTGAAGCTGTGCTGATATGATGTACTCAATAAAGAAAACCTTTGAAGAAGAGCCAAGTCTCGGAATTCTGATTTGATTGGGTTCATTAGTCAGAACCTTGACAACATGATTGTGACAGAAAGCGATACAGATGCATGATAGTGAAAGTGATATAGATGATCACAGAAAGTGATACAGATGATCATAAGGTAGATAGATGGATAGTTAGATAGATGATAGATGATAGATAATAGATGATGATAGATAGATAGAGATAGATAATAGACAATAGATAATAGATAGATAGAAAGATAGAGATAGATGATAGACAATAGATAATAGATAGAAAGATAGAGATAGAGATAGAGATAGATAGCATGTAAGATGATGATGGATGATCGTGTGTATGAGCAAGAACAAAATATGGACTTGATCTTGTCTCTCATTCAGGTAAGAGCAGTTATAGGAGTATATAAAGCATTTTATTTTGCGGACCACACAACCTCTGCTAATCACTACAATACAGTATTCACAGTCCTGGCTCCACTGGCTTGTGATTGTCACATCCACTGTGGCTCTCCAGGTCCAAGTTATCAGATGATTGCCCACTCCAATAATGGAAGAGGTCTTTGAATAGAGGAGGACCCTCTTCTATAAAGGTCTTCCAGCCACCTTGTTTGGTTTGATGCAACAGAGAGATGCTTGGCAACCATGTACTCTTATAAGGCTAGAATCATTATCCAATGCATGGATTTCACTTACAAATCCCTTTCATTCTGCAAAGTTGGAGAGGTCTTTTGTTCAGACCTGATGGTATTGGTGTTGTTTCACTAATAGTAAACAAGACTGTGGAAACTAAGAGAGATGCAGACTCTGAATTCCTGCAACATAAATTGGCATCTTCTAAAGATTTTAATCTGGATCTTGAAATGCAAGAATGGTTATTCCTAGGAATATGTAAACAAATTATGGTCCTGTTATACATCAAGTTTAACTCAATAGCTTAGTCAAAAGTCAGAAAGGACTTTTGACCCAAGCCCAGTGATAGTCTGTGAGTGCCATAACTGAGGCCAAAAATAGGATAGGCTTGAAACTTAACCTCACATTTTGCAGAAAGAGTTAGAGATATAAAGCTTCTGAAAAGGCATTACATTTCTTTAAAGAGCTCACTGCCAAGGCCTAGTAGCCCAGACTCTCTGATTGGCCATGGTACTAAGCTGTGCCACCCACTACAGTATCTGTTTGACCAATGAGATAAGGGCGAATGAGGTAATGAAATTTTATCCACCAGCTTCTTCAGGCTGTGTGTCAGTGTGTATCAAAAAAAAAAAAAGACATAGTGGTCATGACAGCACATTCGAAGTATTCCAGGGATTTTATAGAAAAATAGGCAGGGACTTTGGTTTTTGACAGTTAGTGTGATCATGCACTGTTAATTTCTTTGATCTGATTGGAAGTCTATTGTGTAAACATGGCTACTACATATTCAAAACTTAACCCAATGAAACTGTTTAAATTGACTCTTTTATAATGTGGAATCTGCTTTGCCTTAAATATTCATTTTCCTTTTCAAAAGCCTTTTGTTTCCTTCTTCCCTAATAATGATGAGGTGTTGACTTCAATTAATGTCAAGAGAAAAATTTAATTCATCAATATGAAATCACTCTGAGAAGCCCATATAATGGGTTTCACATGGCCCAGTCACACTCCCGTGAATTTCCATTATCTAAAACTACAGAATAGCAGTACTGTATATTCCGTTATAGCATCTATTGATTTCACAATTTGGTCCAGTGCATTAGTAACATCTAAAATGTCTGAATTCCTTTTATTATTGAAATACATTTTGCATTATTCTGAATTTACAATGTATTTGAAAATGAAGAGTATTTTTTTCCTCTTTGTGTGCTGGTCATATTCTTAGTTATGATTTTTGTTTTTTCTTTCTTTAATTTCAAACCACCTTCTTCTCCATATTCTTCAAGTTTTTCTAATAATATTGGACCTGTTTGTTCAGGGTCTTCCAAGAAAAATACTAAGTTATCAGCATATACTTGTAATTTAAAATTTTCTTTTTAAATTTCCAATCTTTTAATCTGTGTTTCTTGCTTAATCATTCTTGTTAGGACCTCTAATGTATATATGAATAGTAACGAGGACAGAGGGCAGCCGTGTCTTGTACCTTTTTGTATGTAAACGTTACTTGTCAATTTCCATTTATTATCATTTTTGCTTCTTGTTGTGTATATATTGCCATAATTATCTTTAAAAACTTTTCACCAATATCCATGTGTTTTAATTGTTCCATTAGAAAGGGCCAATTTACATTGTCGAAGGCTTTCTGGGCATCTAGAAATAATAAGGCTGCCTGTCAATCGTTATGTTCTTCATCGAATTCAACGGCGTCGAAGACTATTCTCGCATTATATTTTGTTTGTCTATTTGGGAGGAAGCCATTTTGATCACTATGTATTCATTTAAATAACTTTAAATCTTTCAGCTATAATCGTTGTAAATATCTGTATTTAAAAGAGATATTGGCCTATAATTTTGAATTCTTGTCTGATCTGTACCTTCTTTTTAAATAAACACTATATTGGTCTCTCTCCAAGATTTTGGTATTTTCCCTTCATCAAGCACAGCAATGAAGACCTCTAATAGATATTGGTTCAGGGTAGTCTGATGTTCTTTGTATAGCTCTATCTGGGGCAGATGCTTTGTTGTTGTTTTGTTTGTTGATTGCTTTGGCTACTTCTGTCATGGTTGTTGAGGTAATTCCCCATTAGGAGAATGAGCGCATACAGGGAGACGTATTGTGTTTGAATAATACACACACAGCACATAAGGAATGTAGTTTCTTCCTTGGTGGTTCTTTGATTGGAGTATTGTTTTCTACCTGGTTGTTTGTCTGGTGCTGATCCCTGCTTATCTGAGTGTAGGCTACTGGAGAAGATGTGTTGTAGACTTTTTCATTCTTTCTTAGGGTTTTTTTTAGTGTGTAAATATGGTTTATTGATGGCTTATTTGTCTGAATGCCATGCTTCCAGGAATTCTCTAGCAAATTTTGGATTTGGCTTGATCTAGGATGCTATCATTTTATGTCTTCTGATTGTTGGTTGATGTTTGTGAATGTGCTCTACTAGTCTTCTGCCTGACTGTGACTGTTGCAATCCTTTCATTGCATATTATATAAATTAGCCCTAGTTTTTTTTCTTGGGCTGCTGAGTCTTTTAAAGTAAGTTAGAGCAACTTAATTATTCAATATTCTTTTAGTACTCTCTATATGCTCGGGAACATCTCTCTAATGACAATTCTTGATAAATTAAAATCTAAATTTTTAGTTCCAGCTCTTTAATCAATTTTCTTTGGATTGCAAGAAGGTGTAGTGTCAAAGAAACAACTTATATGAACATTGTGTTTGCTGTTCTTTTCTAACAAATGTTCATTCTGAGTGCAATCAGTCCTAAGGTTGATGTGTCCAAAGCAAAAAACAATTACACTACAGAAGAGTCCAAGCACTACAGAAGAGTCCATTATTTTTTAAATTGAAACAATTTTAATTTCTAAATTTTTTAAAAAAAACTTTTACATTTATACATCATTCATAAATGTATTTTTAGGGCTTGGGTAATCGCCATCAAGAAAGCCAATTCCCTCACTCAATTCAACAAGAAGTAAATTTCAGGAAGGTCATATACCATCCTGTGGTAAAATGGGTGGCCAATAAATTTAATATAAATAAAATATAAATAAATAAATACACAAACAAACAAATAAACAATATGTAGTAGTAGAGTGTGTGCATACAGAAGATCTTTTGAGAGAGATTATCAAAAAACCAGATATCCTAAACTTAGTTGTGATTAATCAGTGAACGATTTCTTGGGAGAATAGTAGATCAGGTTCATTGTACAAAGTTTTTGTTGGGCTTCTCCTGGCTTAGGAGGTTAACACCAAAGTAGAAATTACAAATTTATACTTTTTTCACCTTACATTCCAGCCAGCCTTTCTCACCACAATGATTCAGAAGTGGGCATTCTACACATGCTATACCTATTGCAAGGCAATCCTCCCTTTTGAACTGTTTGTGAACCACATGGCAAAACATCTGCAAAAATCAGGATCTCTACTTCAGTATTAAGTCTGAAGAACCTCAACTAAACTTCCTAAGCCTGAAGAACCTCAACTAAACATATGTAAATATTTAATATTCTATGTTTTTTATTTATAGTCATCCTGTACAGTACACAATCAACTCCCACCAGCTGCTAAAGTATAGATCACTACTGTAAATATCACATTTCCCCCTCATTTTTGCTCTTCTACACATTATTGCAGTGAAGAACTTTGACATGAAAGTTACTTGCACAAAGGCTAAGTGGAATCAAGCACTGTGTAGATAAAAAGGAGCTTGGATAACTAAAATATGTAAGCTGGTACATATAATTAGATGATGAAGTTTCACATGCTAGTACCTGTGCATTAATAAATTCATAACCATAGCATAGCCAAGATAATTCCTGCCACACCTCTCCAAATCTTATTTGTTTACCATGGTATATCTTCTGCTTGTTATTTTGTCTTACTCATTTTCATTGTTGCTTCAAAGGGTGGAAAAGCCCCTTTAAAATTCTGGGACAGCAATCTACATTTCCCTGGATTTGGGAGGGAGGCAGAGATGCTATTTTACATCTCCATGGTAACAACTTCTACAGCTAGAGAGAAGGATAATTTTCCCACAATAGATTTGTACAGCTTGCTCTGCTAGAAAGAATGATGGGCTGGTTTGAAATGTACTGAAATATTCATATGTTCAATGCTTCATAGGCACTCTTTATAATGTTATGAAATAGTGCCCATGTTCTGTAATAGTGTCCATATGTTTTTGTCAGTCAAGGAGCTAGTTATTCTGACTAAGCTTAGGCCATAGGATGTAAAATCGTCAGTTCTGTACTGAAACTATAAGGCATTGAACAGATTATCTGAGAAAGCAGAAACCAGCAATGTCAGCTAACTTCTAGGTGAGGATTGCTGACTTTGGGTTTCATGAGAGAGAAGAAGGAAGGCAGGCAGAGTAGAGACTCATTGACTAAGTCATCATTCATTGGTCTACAGAAGAGTGTGACATCACCACTACAGAGTGAATCTGATGCCAACTTCTCCCACCAAACCTGGCATTCTTTGCATCCCAATCAGCAGCTAGACTGAGCTGATGAGCTGAACTAAAAATACATGAACTGAAATCTTTACCTTTCTCCCCAGGCAGCAGATTAGCTGGTTGACTAAAGCCAATTAAATATTGTAATGCTTTCCCCAAAAAAGCCTTATGTTTGGATACCATCCCCTACCTGGTACCTGAAATCAGATAAATTAAGCTATAATGCATTTTGCGGATCAATAGAATTCATTCATTACTTATATATCTCTGCATTCATTACTTATATATCTACAGCTCCTGATAAGCTCAGCTCCATCATATTCAAGAAATAATATCACAATTCCTTATGAACACCTGTTCCTTTTGTGTGAAGAAAGAAAGAAAGGATGAAAGGAAGGAAAAAGAGAAGGAAAAGGAACCCCACAAACTTTGTATTCATGTCCATAGGCTAAACCCTATGAGTTTAACAATTATATTACATTCTGTCACAACAACAACATTACAGATATTTTAAAAAGAAAAAAATATGCATGCATGAAAAATCCATTTTCAAGGCTCAAACCTTCTCTTTGATTTCAATGAAATTTCATTCTGCTTCATATCCTTGATAGCAACTTTTATCTACCTGCAAGTGTTATTCTATTTTCCTAAAAAACAAGAACATTATAGTAAAATCTTGATCTATCTGATCTCTATTTAACGGCAGATGCAATTTCTTTTTGGTTGAAGCTTCATCCCCAACAACAGATTTTGTCAAACAGGATTTCATTATTTCATTAACTCTAATCCTAACCCTAACCTTCACATCCTGGACATAAACTGTTTCAACTCCTACCGTCAAAATGACGCTATAAAGCACTGCACCTCAGAACAACTAGACACAAGGACACTTTTTTCCCAAACGACATCACTCTGCTAAACAAATAATTCCCTCAATACTGTCCAACTATTTACAAAGTCTGCACTACTATTACTATTAATATTCTCATCACTCCTTATCACCCATCCCCTCCCACTTGTGGCTGTATGACTGTAACTTTGTCACTTGTATCCTTACGATTTATATTGATTGTTTCCTAGTATGATTCGATTGCTTATTGTACCCTATGACTATTATTAAGTGTTGTAAGTCTTATGATTCTTGACTCTTGACAAATGTCTCTTTCCTTTTATGTACACTGAGAGCTTTTGCACCAAGACAAATTCCTTGTGTGTCCAGTCACACTTGCCCAATAAAGAATTCTATTCTATTCTATTCTATTCTATTCTATTCTATTCTATTCTATTCTATTCTATTCTATTCCATTCCATTCCATTCCATTCCATTCCATTCTATTTTATGTAAATGATATAAATTGAATTATATTTATTTATTAAATTTATATAGCCACCTATCTTCCCCCAAAGGGACACGTACCAATTTAAAAACAGCCAATCAAAACAGATAAAAATCTAAAAGCCACAATCATAAATAACATTAAAATATATAATTCCTCAAGTGGCATACATGACAAACAAATGGCACAAAACATAAATTACTTAATTATGTAAATGAAGTAAATTGTGGCAAAAG